TTCTCTCCGGCATCTTTTTTTGGTTAATAATCAATAATCCAGAACGAGTCATCTAGCATGTATGACGTAAGATCATTTATTGAAATACAAAATGTGTATAAAGGATATGGTGATAACTAAGATTAGATCCTCATCATTATATCCAAATTTAGCAAACGCAAGCGCATGGGCGACCATTTCTCTAGGCGCTATAAAGAACGTCGTGCATCCAATGTGACGAGGGTAAGATTTGGGGTGTCTAGCCCGATGTTATGTGGTCAGTTGGCATATTTTGTGTGATGTTTGATTTCCAGAATAACAACGGTGTATGTGATGAGGGGAACACTCTACCATCCTGCCAAGATATACTTGGAGAGAAAATGGAAGATGTTAACAATATAAAGTTCAATTTATACGGTTGGAAAGGATGTGAAAGGACGGGGGGGTTGTACCGACAATGCTACAATGTAATGAAATCAGGGAGTTACTAGTTGTGCATTTGCTTCGAATCAGTTTCTAGATCTTCGCCATCATGGTGGGTGTAATGCTCATAAGCTGTCGCTTTCCCCCACATTTGCAAAGTTACCCGGGTACAGCGACACTATTTGGCTTCTTCCTCCTGAAAGTGAGCACCTTTCGCGAACCACGCTTTGATTTTCTTCAACAGTTTACCCTGACCGAGGCTGCTAGCCACCCGGAGACTGGCGGCTGCGTGCACGGAAGCAAACTGTCGGGGGAGTAGGCTTTTTGTTTTTAGTTTTTGCCTACCAAGGGGTCAGGAGCCAGTCCAGACTAGAAGTTGCGTTTGCAATAACACTATCCTTTTTTTGGGGTTGCCAGAGTATTAGGCCTGGACATTGGGCACGGCGGTATATGTGTCGCAATCATGCTCCCTGAGCTCCCGGGGGCAGTTCGTCAACTCCTCTAGGCGTTCATCTTTGAGTTGCTTGAACACAAAGCAACCATGCTGAGAATATTTGCCTTGCCCCAATTGACTGGACCTGCCCCACTTGGGAACAAGAAAGAGGAACAAAAGGAAGTCTTCAAAGCCAGGGGTTGATTAACCTTTTTTTGACGGTTTTATCTCTTGGCGCCCGCAAACAGTAGTGCTTTTCAGGATGGCCGGGGATTGCCCCTTTCAGCCATTCCAGGAGGGGTTGCAAGCAGGGGGCATCCTTCTTTCCCTTTTTCCTGGTGCCGGATGATGTCCTGTTTTGCTTCGCGTTGCTAAGCTGTGAGAGGGGCATTTGGCACGCCCGCTCGCGCTCCCGAGCCACCTCACGTGCCGGCTCCCCCGGGCCGCGCGTCCCTACTTCCCCACTCTTAGGCTCCCTCCTTCTCCACCCTAATGCTCGGCCATCTCTCCCCTCCGGGGGGCGCCCGCTACAGGCGTCTGGCCCCGCGTGACCCACCCGTCACCTTTGCCAGGGAAGCCCCAGCGCCCCCCGCCCGCTCCCCTCCCGCACCTCCCCCACACCCTGATTCCGCACCACCGACCCCCGCTCCCCGCCTGAGCCCCACCTCGGGTCCCCCCCCCTCCCCCACCCCCGCTCCCCCTCCTCCCCCCCCCCCCCCCCATCACAACGCTACCTTGGGATCGGCACCGGTAGGTCGAGTTGTGGGAAGAACGTGCGTCCCTCGCGCCTCCGCTTATCAAAAGCTGCTGATTTCTCCAGTCCAGGCTGTAGGATTGGTTAGAAGACTTTTTGCCGCTCTTTCGGGCTTGTCCACATGATTAGCGCCAGATGGTTGCCAAGTAGTTCGCGCGTTTTCGTTAGGAGCAAAAGCAAGCCCACATCATGTGTCTTGGAGAATATATGTGGGGACCTTTAATCCCGTTTGCTTCGCAACTATCTACAGCATTGATTAAATCATTAAGAGTGTCCGCCTCTTCCTGTGTGTGACACCGGGCATTATTTCACATTCATAAATTCGTATGATCCTCGCTGCCGTGTTGCAGTATGAGCCTTGACGGTACTGCTCAGCGGATAAGGTAAAAAAGTGGGGCGGGCAGTATAGCGGGCACACATGTTGTTATATATAGTCAATGAAGCAAGGTGTGGTGCTCTGGGGTACAGCCTGGTATTTTAAAAAATAAATAAAAAAAAAGCAAAAAAAAGGAGGAAAGCAGAAAAAAAAACGATGGCTGGATGGGAAAAAGTAGAGGTTAGCGAATCTTTGTTGCTGGGCTGGGGGCGAGAAACATCTTTTCTGTCTTTGATGCCGTGAGGTCTTGAACTATGTAGGATTTAAGTTACCCCCACATTAGCCTTTCACTCGCCTTCTTAGGTCTGTTCCTTCATTTGATGCTTTATTGGTGTAGTTTATACAAATATAACTCGCACTTGACAAATAGTCTCGAGCCTTTGGGTCATGAGTGCGCACGGGAAGGATGTTGCGCCAAGCTCTTTGGCAAGTCTGTTGGAAAATTCTGCATTGCCGATAACTCCTGTACCACTCCCCATTTCATCCAACTACAGAGAACACGTCTACAATCCCTCTTCAAATCGGTAGGCTCGTGCACAGAAGTTTGAATCTGTTGTCGTTGCGCCCCACAAATCTACCCAGAGAGCTTTAATCACCTGTGCTCTTGTCCGCTAGTGGGATGAATTAGATCCATCCGGTGCCATGAGACTTTGTGTCGTGTAGGGCAAACTCATGCATGTCAATTACTTCTTGCACAGATCGACACTCTCTCGTCAGAATTGACGGCGGCAATAACCAGCAGTCTGGGCAAAAGAGTGATGTGTTGCGGTTTCAAGGTGCATAGCACCTCCGACCCTGTGTTCCAAAATTAATGTCTTTTGCAGCAGACAATCCAGGTCTTCTGCTTGACATGTTGCGTCATCTGTCCACAAAATTGCGGACTCAGACTGCATGCGTTCCTCTACAAAGTTTTGTAAGCTTCTGCGCACTTCTCTCATGGTTGCTAGGATACTTGTTGCGCTAACTCGTCCGGGGATGATCTCCTTTGACGATGAGTTTGTTACATGCAGCCTCTGGCAGTCAGAGTTCTCGAGCTACCAGGCCTCTGCTTGTATCTATAATGTTGGTCAGTCTGTGGTGGCCTTAACAGTCGACTATCAGCTAGCAGATAGGAGCGGTTCTCTTTGCGAGGCAGATTTTTGGTGACAGAGAGATTGATGATAGTGTGGTTGGCGTGGCAATTGTGCTAGGTAGTACTACCAAGTCGTTCTGACTCAATCATCAGCAAGTCGTGCCAGCTCCGGAGCAGTGAGACAAAACTTACAAGGAGCTCGTTGCTGGATATGTTTTTATTTCCAGAAATCCCTCCCTTGGCCTTTCCGTGATATTTGTAGTGAGGTGTTTTCCATGCCTGAATCAACACCAATTAGTGTGAATGGAATATTCGGTTTGCTGCGTATTCACCTGAAAAAGAACTCTACCATTGGTGGAAGCTCTGCCAATAGATCTGCGATACCAGAGGTTTTATTGGCATACAATGCGTGCGAGTGTAAACGTCTGGAATGTTTTGAGACATAATCTAGCCTGGCATATGCCAAAACACGTCACTGTCACCAAAGATGCATCACAAGACTGAATTAAGCCAGCAGATCACGCAGGGTGCCAGTTACTCTCTCCCGAGTATAGCCCTCTCGGAACTGTAACGCTGAGGGTCGAGATCGCTGCCTGACCGCATTACATCCATAGGTTCAACCCTCATCTGGAAACATACTCTGGGGTGCTGTCTGTAAAGACCTTAGGGGCGTTTCAACTCTGCGTAGTGCTTTCTCAGATTGAAGGGGGATTCTATATTCATTTTGATATGGCCCTAATGCGTTTCTGCAAACCGCGACTGTCTGTTATCGCGGCATGCTTCAGGACTCCAGCTGCTTTACGGCTGGCGCTACCACAAGGCGGTGCAGCAATCGCTTACAGATAGGTGCCGATCCTCGAAGAAATTTCTCATCCAGATGATCGAAGAGTGGCTGAAGAGTTAACTGTTGTAATGATTGCCATTTAAAAATCTGTGGATCAGTCACGCTACTGCTACAAGTCTGGCTTCGGCTCTTGCCAGATGCGTGTGATACAAGACCTTAAATTATTTTTAAAACATTATCAAATATATGGGTCCTTGATATAGCTCATATGTCTTGACTTTTAGAATACAAAGTTAAAAACTAAAATTAGGGAGGTCTAGATCTGGCCGAGATACGTTTTAACTAATTTAAAAATGGGGGTTGGTATTATAAGATCATGTATAATACTTTTTTCTGATATAATCGTCACAGAAGAACACCTGGTTTTCTTATCCATTGCAACCAGAGTTCCAGGATGAAGAGTTGTGCTCAACATATATATTCATTTGGTATCCAAACTGCTGATGAAGCGGCATGTTCGAATTATACTGCTTTAAAATAAATATGTGTCTAGAAATAACGCTCAAAAAAAACATACAAATCGCTTTAAAAAACGCCGCCATTTTGAAATTCAAAATGGCGGCTCTAAATGTTAATGGAAAAACTGGCACCCATTTTTTTCTTAATCAGTGATGTTTCTAGGTGTGTTTAAACATGGGTGCCAAGAATCTACCCAAAATTTTGCTTTTTATACATAAGCCCACAGACTATCAGCGCCTATTTAGCCAAATCAGCATATTTAGGTCCATTTAAGCAATTTTTAGGTCCATTTAAGCTAAAGTTATGTCCATTTAAGCATATTTGTAGTATGACCTCGTTCGTACACCATACACTTGCTGTGGGAGAAGACATTCGTACTGCCCACGACAAACAATGACGAGGGACAATGTTGATGACAAACCACCCGACATTCTTCGCCCGGTATTACTGTATACGCCATATTTTTCGCGTACAGATATTTTCGATATTACAATTTTGCGAGTGGTTAATTTCACGGTCGGTGAATTATGAATTGTTTGACATTGTTTGGTATGAATTATTCGCGTGTTGTTATATTGTCACGGTCGGGGGCGCGTTCGCAAAATTTGCAAAAATTAATCCACGGCGAAATATACAGCATATACAGTAATTGTAGGTTTTGCCTCCTGCTAGCCGGGATGGTCGAGACGGACTGCCTGGGACGGCTGGTGTAAACGGGAGGAACGGCATGCCTGGTCGCGATGGCAGAGACGGGTTTCCCGGCGAGGCCGGGGCACCGGGAGTCGCCGGAGAGATGGGAGAAAAGGGTAAACACCTGCCGCGACGGTGTAGTGATTTTAATAATTACCTATAGCTGTGAACGTTTTCACATAAGCTGCATAATTTTCATACATTGTTTGAAGCTTTTGCTGTAGATGTGAATAGCATAGTAATCTTCCTTAGCGTTACCCCGTAATCTGTACATATTTATAAAGGAATCACTTTGCTTTGTTTCTTAGGACTTCCTGGAATAATTGGAGTGTCTGGAGTATGTGAGGAATGTGAGAGAAGAAAGATTTACCAGTGTACATGGGATGCATCCAATGATGACACAGACATAGGAGTTATACATGTATATCCTTATCACGTGCATGTTTTCTTATCGCTAGGCATATCAAATATCCAATCAAAACGAGTTCTAATGGGCGAATCAGTACAAGAATCAGTACGCAAACATCCTACGAAAAACTTCTGATATCATTGATCCATATTTTTTCTAGCAATGTGCTGTGAAGAAGCGTACCAACACGACAGGGCTCCATGTAAGGTGGAGTGGTAATCTGCGCAACATCAAATCTGGTGGCAATTCGTGCAGTCGCTGGTACATCACATTGAATGGGGCTGAGTGCAACAACCCTGCACGCATAGATGCCCAAATCTATGACAGTACGGATGGACACAACATGCACATACCTTCCTCTAGTAAGTCCAGTATAGCATTCATAGTAATTATGAACAGCGACAGCGTAGAATGACTACAATAGACTTTAACTAATGTTTTTTTAGCAAGACTTCTATTAATTCGGTAACGTTTGTTACACCTGACATGCTAAAATATTGACATTATGCCGCAGTTGAGGGGATTTGCTATATGCTGCCCGCTGGTCCAGTACTGGTACAGCTTCACACAGGCGACTGTAGACCTGGACATGGACATGGAAACACCTACACCGGCTGGAGCAGTGTCTCCCGCATGATCGTAGAGGAAATTGAGATGTAAACACAATAAGAGATGACGTTACGACCCAGGAAATTTCCACTCATGAAAGAGGATGACACAAATAGCAAGAAGGCTCTTACAGCTTAGTATTTTTCACAGTAGGCCCAGTCCCACAAAAGAATCTACACAAAGAAAATAATCTCCCTACACAATGACTCGGCAGCCCCTTCATGGGTTCAACGGCGACCAGACGAAATTGGATAGCAATGGATTCACACGATCACGTGGCATCACAAAGGAGGAAAATACTACATACACAGAAATGGTGCCCCCTCAGCAAGCTCAAAATAATGCCGACAAATTCCAGAAATGCATCTCAGCCTAATCGATCGCATCTTTCGTGTACCGGTTCCTTCTGCCTGTCACCATCCGGTAAGAACTCGTCCTTCCATGGCTGTGCAGGAGGACCACATGCGGCTGCTAGCTGTGTGACATCTGCCACTACATGAACAGTGAGACTCTCTGGGGCAGTGATCAACTTCCTTAACTCATCCAATCGTGCGATCACCTTCAAAAGACGTCAGCAACCATTGTACAGAGCTGCACTACCAGCACCATATACATATTTCAACGTATTTCCCGTGTGCTAAAATATTAGTTTTACATGAAGGTAGTCACTTGTTTAGAGAATATATTAATTTGATACCGCATCATTTGAATTTGAATGCAGTATTGCTGTTCGTTTGTATTGTCTTATTGGATAAAAAACCAAGTAATATGAATGTTAATGTAAATGATTAGATGAGGTCAATGATTAAAATGGAAACTGATGAAATGCTGATTGACAAAGTAAAAATCAATGAGTAAACCTACTACATTTTAATTATTTAATAGAACTCTAGACAGCATTTCATACCTCATTTGGATTTGTTTTCAGTTCCTCCAGCATAAGAGTAAGAAATCTCTGCTGCCTCATCATTCCAGAGATATAATGATTACTCTCTGAAATAAAAACAAAAAATCACAATTAATGAAATTATAATGTAAACAAATTTATTACCACTCTTACCAAAACAAATGTAATAAACCAATCGAGTAAACTGTCATGACATATTATATTATTTATATTTGCATAGTTGTGGATCTTAAATAACCATGCTCAATATAATCATTCGAGGCGGATTCGAGCGCGCCGTGAGGCCTGTGGGAGGAGAAGTTTACGAGCCAATATCTCAGCCTAGGAGTATCGTATTAACAAGCGGTTGGTCTTGTTTTAGAGAGCAAAGAATTCTTCTTAATGCAATACCATAAAATTATTCTAGACTCGCAGGCAAAGTAGAATAATCATGTCGTGAAATAGCACTATTTTCCCGTTTTTCCGTTGTACACTCTAGGTATTATTAGCTCTTGATATAATGTATAGCTATCCGTAAATATTGTATGCTAGAAAGAGAACATTACATGGTATACATATGCACCTTTACTGTAATTATCATCTTTGATGGCCGCCAGGACGACCCGCTGGCTATTGCGCTTGCAGCGTGACACGTCGCTCATCATCTTTGTTGCAATGATGCGCACACGTTCGGCTGTGAGGACCGTCCGAAAAAGCAGCTCTCCAGCCCACTGTATGCCCTTACGGTACTTGTCCACCTCCATCTTTAGCATTAGCACCGCCAGCTGAGCAAACGGGCCGCAGTGGAATCGACTGCCGTCCACGCCAAGGGTGAGAGCTGTCGTGAGTGTGTCAGATGCCAGCTCTGCTACCACGTCCTCGTACGGCACCAGACCTGCTACGCAAAGCAACAAGAGGTGTCTGTCCAGGAGCTCACCAATAGATTGCGATATGCTGTGATGCACCGCAGGAAAAGCCATCCTCACTTAGCATTTCTATCTCTCCCTTCCCCCTTTCCCTTCTTTCTCTTTATCTCTTTCTCTCTCCCTTCCCTCTCCCTTTCTCCCACTTCTTCATTCTGCTGTTAATCTACACCATGTAACAATATCTTGTCATAATATATAATACGGAAATCCAATTTAAACATAGCCATTTATTGTTCACGTTCTACTCATCCACACCGCAGGCTAGTCATAATTCCCGCCTCGCCACCAGTGCTCGCCACCAACCCCCAGTGCTCATGCTGGACCGTGCTGCCATCTTCCGAGTACCAATGAGCACTATGTTTAGTAACATGATATGACATCCCCTTTCTTTTAGAAGCATTAGAGAACGTCTGATTGGATCAAAGGCTGAGGGTAGCCACTAATGATATCGCTATTTACGAGGTGCATTTCAGTGATTATAAATTCGCGTTGATTGTCTGCTTGTTCTGCGACGGAAGATAAGTTGCGGATTTTACGTTATACAGGATGTAACCGACTACCTATAAAACCATTAACACAATGGGTATGAACAGACGTAACTCACTATATAACATACAAGTAACATTAACACAAAATGAACTACTCAATGTCATTTGAATATGACTCAAAATCATCTTTACATGTCAAACCCTTTTAGTGGAATGACTGCTCTACCTGATCGCGTACGATAGGTGTGAGCCACAGCCTCGCTGGAAGCACTGTTATCATTACCCACTGGATGGCAGTTGGTTCCGGCATCCTGTAGGAAACGGACGCATTTCGTTGGATGTACTGGTGTGTTCTGCGTATCCATTCTGGCTGCTGTCTCGGGATCGCTGGTAAGTTGCACGGGGATATCGGCTTGAGCTAAGGTGTTCGCCTCCTCACACGTCTCCCTAACGTAACGCCCGGTTCCTCCTCAATGAAACACCAGAGGGCGTGTGTACCTCATACGAGCGTTGTTCTGGACGGATCCCAGTGACTATTCCTGGACGCCACTGGCCTGATGTCTGGTCTTGTATCCGAACGGGTTGTCCTTTGATAAGCGGGGACAGGCTTCCTCCAGCCTTCTCGTCATAATATGCCTTTTGAGATGCCTGCCGCTGTAGAAGCCTCTGCATGGTCGCATCCTTATTGGGTGCGTTGTTGTATATTCTCGTGGGGAGGTTCGCTTTCATTCTCCTCGCGTTCAACAGTTTAGCTGGTGACAGGAGGTGATGGTCTATCGGTGTAGACCTGAGCACTAACATTGCCATGTCTACGTCAATTCCTGCTGCTCTGGCTTTAGTCAGGACGTGTTTGACGGTCTGTACCTGGCGCTCAATCAGCCTGTTTGACTGCGGGTAATGAGGGCTCGCTGTTACATGGTCAAAACCCCACTCGGCGAAAATCTTGTAAGCTTGACCATCGAACTGTGTTACCGTTATCGCTTATTACGGTCTCAGATACTCCTTGTTCAGCGAAGATACTCTTAGTTATGTTCACAATGGCCTGACTCGTGGCTCTGCCGCCAATTTTCTTGACGAAGGGGAACTTTGAGTAGTAATCACTGATGATTAGGTATTCATCACCTGCCAGGTAGAATAGGTCCGTACCCAGGACTTGCCAGGGCTGGGTTGGAACCTTATGCTGCAGCAGCGGCTCGTGACTCTGCGTCCTCTGAGCTTGCTGGCATATGCTGCACTTTCGGACCAGGTTCTCTATATCCGAGTTTATATTGTTCCAGTACACACATGTTCGCGCTCTCAACTTCGTTTTCTCGATACCTTGGTGCGACTCATGTAGCCGAGCCAGAATGTCCGTCCGCATGTTTGCTGGAACTATGACACGATCATCTTTCATGATGACACCATCGTCTACGTGAGCTCGTCCCTGTATGACCAATATGGACGCAGCGGGAGCGGAAGCTGTTTTTGCCTTTCCGGCCACCCTGTGACGACAATATTCATTAACGCACCAAGCTCTGCGTCGCTGCGTGTGCTGTCGCGCAGTGTTTGGCGCTTCTGGGTCGACCACTGTGCGTAATCCACTCTTATGTCCAGGTCGATCGTAGCGCAGTCATTCCCAGGTGATCTCGAGAGTGCGTCAGCTACCAGCACCTCTCTTCCTGGCCGTTATCGGATTGTGATGTCGTACCGTTGAATGCGTAGCAACATGCGTTGCAGTCGCTGCGGTGCAGTCGCTGTGGTGCAGCTGCCAAGTTTTTCAAGTGGATCATTTCAAGCAGCTTGTGATCCGACTCGTCTGTGAAGTGCTTGCCGTACAAGTATGTGTGGAATTTCTCACACCCGAATACGACGGCTAGTAGCTCGCGTTCAATGTTGGCGTATCTCTGCTCGCAGTCACTCAATGCCTTTGACGCAAATGCCACTGGTCTGTCGTGTTGTAGTAATACGGCGCCGAGGCCCTTGCTGGATGCATCGACCTGCAGTACAGACTCTTGCTTTAGGTCGAAGTAGCTGAGGGTGACCTCTCGGCAGATCAGCTCGATTATTTTCTTGAAAGCGATCTGATGTGACGGGGACCACTGGAACTCGGTTCCTCCTTTCATGAGTTCTCGCAGAGGTGCAGTCACTTGCGATAGGTTCGGGATGAACGGAGACATGTATGTGACGATGCCTAAGAATTCCTGCAACTGCTTGGGGTCACTGGGCACCGCTAGATTCCTAATGTCTCTGACTTTGTCCGGGTCTGGGTGGACTCCATCGGGGTCAAACACGAGACCGAAGAACTTCATGCTTCGCTTATTGACCTCACATTTGTCAATGTTGAACACTAGGCTGTGTTCACTTCAAATCACACTTCCTTTGATTTACCGAACACCGCAACATCATCTGCAATGCCAGTGGTGCCTGGACACTGCTCCAGAATATGATCCATACGTTTCTGGAACACATCTTGGCTCACGTTTAGTCCGAACGGGAGCCTCCGGAAACGATATCTGCCGAACGGGCTGTTGAACGTCGTGAGCCAGCTCGATTGCGCATCCAATGATATCGACCAGTACCCATGACGGGCATCAAGTTTCGAGAAGGTAGTCGCCCCGGCAAATCTGTGCGTGATCTCCTCCAACGTGGGAGTCTTGTAGTGTGGACGCTTGATTGCCGTGTTAAGATCCTTGGGATCTAGGCACACGCGCAGTCGCCCATTTGACTTGCGACTGAATGCCAGGCTGCTGACCCAGTCGGTCGGCTCCGTAACTTTTGTGATTACGCCCATCTGCTCCATACCATCCAACTCTTTATTTACGTAATTCGTCTCGTAAATGCATTGGGCAGCGTCTAGGGGCATGGGCCACCGGTTGTACAGATGGGTCTACTGTTATGTGGAACATTCCTTTAAAGTTACCGATGCCCTCGAATCTGTCTGGGTATAGCTCGACCAAGACATCCTTACAGTCTACATGTGTGAGTTGGACAGGTGCCGTAGGTATAATGTACGGTGCCTTGTCCTTGTTAACGACTGCTTTGGTAGTTATTTCGCAGTTGAGCTTGACCACACGTAGCTCACGCAGCGTTGGCAATCCCATGATGGCCGGTCCTTCGGAGTCAGTCTCATAAAATTGCCACATCGTGGTACTCGCGGTACCTACAAGGGATATCAATGGACCCGTGCTGTGGGATCCTCATGCCATTATATGCGGTCAGCACAGTGCTCCGCGGCTTTGTGGCTCCCATCCGTGGGAAACCACCATAGTCCAACCTCTCAGGGAACATCCTTCTGTAAATTCTCAGGGGCAGTATGTTACCCTGCGCACCGGTGTCCACCTTAACCTTGAGGTTGGATTTGGCACGTGGGTTGTTTTCTAAGTCGATATCGACAAACACAAATACCTCATCTCGTGTATCGCTATCCCTTTGGTCACTGTTAGAGTTTATCGACTCAAATGACAATGACTCAAAACTCTCCTCCAAGGATGGCCCACTGCCACGACTGCCTTGTTGGCGCATGTCATTCGGCTTCTCGGAGACTGCATGGAACCGCCTGTTGTTCGCAGATTTTCCGCCTTGGGGCCACTTACCACGTAAATGTGACCTAGGTCTTCTCCCCACTGGGCTGACCTGACTATCTGGTCTCGCCCGGCAGACCTTCTCCCAGTGGTTGTCCTTGCCACAGGCCCTACATGTTGTGCCGTATGCTGGACATTTAGCGCCATGGCTGCCTCTACAGCGATTGCACTTCCCGTAGGCTTTGCCCGGAAACTGGTTGTTTTGCCGGTTGTGGTAGCCTTTCTTGACCGCGTGTATGGCAGCTCCAGCCCCATCACTGCTTGTCAATTGTGCCATGTGCGCCATGGTTGCTTCATGCGTCCTGGCAATGTCCATCGCTACATCAAGGTCAACCGTCTCATCCTTGGAAAGCAGGATCTCCTGGACCTTCTTGTGGTGTGTGCCAATGATAAGTTGTTCCACAAGGCGTTCGCTTGTTTCGCGCTCATCTCTGAAGTTGCACTTCTTCGCCTGTATTTTACAGCGCATCATGAATTCATAAATGGATTCTGTTGGTGTCTGTCTGAACTTCTGTAAATTAAATCTATTTAACCGGGAGTTGACTTTAGGTTCAAGGTGTTTCTTAAATAATTTCCAGATGGCGTCGGGCTTCTTGCGGTCCTCTCTAGACACAGCCCAAGAGCTGAACATTTTTAGTCCTTCTTGTCCGACCCATATTAGCATGTACGTAACTTTCTCCTCGTCAGTTTTGCTGGCGAACGGCCCAGCATATATCAGACTGCAGTACTGCTTGAACTCGTTGAAGGTACTAGGCACATCTACTGCTGAACAGTCCATACGAGGTGGTTCAATGCCTGTCAAGTCCCCCATATTTGCCAGATTGTGGATGGTGATACTGTACAGTACCTTGCTCTACCGTCTCCGGATCGGTGATCTCCTGCCACCCGTCGACACGATGCTTATGTTACCACTGTACCGTTGTCTACCGGCGGGAGCTCCACTCCACAACTTTGCACTGTTATTCTTATCACAGAAGCTCATTAGCACGCAACGTCTCTTGTTCCATTACGTGCGTGGTTAGTTCGCATAACCGCTGCCACCATGTAACAATATCTTGTCATAATATATAAGACGGAAATCCAATTTAAACATTAGCCATTTATTGTTCACGTTCTACTAGTGATGTCACGATCATCGATTATACTTGATCATCGGTTGAACAGTTACTCGAACCGAGCGCTTGGTTATCAAAATCCATAATCGATTTTTTTTTTTAACTTGAACAAGAAAACTTGGAAAAGTGATGAGAATCAGAGATATCATCGCTACTATACAAGTTATCCTTTATTAACATAGATGTATTATACACACAGTAGTAAGCAGTGCAAAACAAACAGTAAACAGGGCTAAACCATCACATACATGCACACACGTACATGCGCACGACGTTACGCACACGCAGGCATTCTACACCCCGAGTAACCGATTGTAACCGATCATCGGTTACTTGGGTCCAACCGATGATCGATTACGAAATTACAACCGATTGACAACACTACGTTCTACTCATCCACACCGCAAGCTAGTCATAGTTCCCGCCTCGCCACCAGTGCTCGCCACCAACCCCCAGTGCTCATGCTGGACTGTGCTGCCATCTTCCGAGTACCAATGAGCACTATGTTTAGTAACATGATATGACACACCACATCTTTCTTAGAAATTTCCCTATCTGAAGGAGGCCATAATTGACACCTATCAGGTATAAAGATGAAAGAAAACATGTGAAATACAGGCGCATACCCGCGTTCCTCTGGATGGGAGATTCAAGTAGTAGCTACATGAGAATGCACAGGTATGGCGTCAGCGATTGTGGCACGCAACTCGTGTTCATCAACATGCTGAGCTAATCAGAAGACAAGAAATGGCTCCCTTGTGTCAATAGTTACACAAACATATGCATGTGTGCCTATGTATTAAAACACTGAGAAATACATTTAAATCAGGAGTGTATCAATATTGATAGACTCCTGTTTAAATCACATGCAGTGATGATGAATGCTTGAAGTAGTAATGGAACTTTTCACCGAGTCTCATTGCACTTTTAACAAAATATTCAAGGCCATTACATGAGTTACCGGAGCAATAATCGGACCAAGTACCCAATTTTAAAAACCCAATGAGGTTCTAACATACTTTCTTTGTCATTCTAACATTATACTGTATACGCCATATTTTTCGCGTACAGATATTTTCGCGAATTCAGACTTGACGGACAATTTCGCGGTCGGTAAATTATGAATTATTCGGTATAATTCGGAATGAATTATTCGTGTGTTGTTATTTTCGTGAGTCGGGAACGCGTTCGCGAAATTCGTGAAAATTAAACCACCGCGAAATATAGAGCGTATACAGTAACTTAACAAACAAGTCACAATTACTTAGCATACATTACGGCAGAGTATTTGAGAAGTTATACGTTAATTTTACAAACGTAGTAATTTCAGGTTTACTTAAACCTTACTTCCACTTTATGGTCAGTGCCAGTGTGTTATAGTTTTCATATTATTATATTATTTTATTTAAAAACAATATGTAAAATATATAAAATGCAAAATAGCCAATGATAAATTCAAGAACATACCACAAATTTATAGGTATGTAACGTAGACCTCAAGGGATTTGTTATACATTCATGTTCATTTTATTTTCATTTACAAACATCTCAGAACCTACCTTGACGAAGTGTGTGTGCATATCATCGACGAGGAATTTAAATGGCATATCAGTCAATGAAAACTAGGAATTTTGCTGGTCAGTTCTGGTGTACAGTTGTTACTAGCAACAATTAAGTGGATGAAACTTAATGCTGGAAGTACTGGGTATAGGGTACACTCCTGATTGTTTCTTCTGGTGGTGCCACCTGTCAAATATTTCAACCGAATTTTGTTAATTAGTAAGTAGGAAATTTGCAATAACTAAGAAAATGTCGTTAGACCCCCACCAAAAACCTAAGGAGGCCACTTGTATTTTTAGTAAAAATTGCCGAGGTGCATATAACTCTGATGAAGCCTTCTGCATAGAGTTTAACGACAAAATCAGCTTCACCTCATTTTCAGTAGTAGCCTCCATCAGGTTTGTGTGCAACTTTTTCAGACCAGCTTTGCCCAGTCTTCTCCGTTGCTCTGCAACACGCTCCTTCTCCTCATCGGCCATCGTCTCCATTAGCTCTGTAGATGGCTCACCTATAATCTGATAGTACAACAGCAGAGTCAAACGTAAATAGGATTAACCTATATTACAGTGCACCAAATCAATGTCAGCAAAGAAGCAACTAATACGAAATAATCTCTCACATTTAAAGACTTACAATGCAAGTTGGCAATGTCATACAAGGAACTGACAAACAAGTATTAGATGACAAATATGGAATTTGGTATACAGTCAAGCTACTTACTGCCACATGGTTGGCTCCAACTAAATATTTACTTATGAGCTTCAACCAGAACTCCTCAGTTTCTAACTTCATTTTCTTGAAATTTTCTGTCTGATTCAGTCTGAGAAAATGTTTCTCTGGGCTTACGATAGCAGCGTATGTTGTAGCGTTGCTATATGCAACCGCATTTGATTATCCAACATGGCTAGCTCGTAGTCATTTATGAAGCAGGGCACTGCCCCACCAAAAAAAATCGCTAAAAGGTTACGCGGTTAAAAGGTTAAAAGGTTAAAACGCGGTTAAAAGGTTAACGCTAAAATCGCTAAACGTTAAAATCTAAACGCTAAAACGCTAAAACGTTAAAACGCTAAAACGTTAAACGCTAAAACGCTAAAATCGCTAAACGTTAAAAAAATCGCTAAAAGGTTACGCGGTTAAAAGGTTAAAAGGTTTCGGTACGCGACACACCTTCTCCCCAAGATGTGTAAGTATACCAAGTTTGGTCACGCTAGGTCAATTAGGGGCCGAGTTATAGAGCGGAAGGAAGATGTGATCAAGGTAAAAGTAAAGGTCAAATAAAGGTCGCAGTGACCTGGTTTTGGTACGCTGCTCACCTTCTCCCCAAGATGTGTAAGTATACCAAGTTTGGTCACGCTAGGTCAATTAGGGGTCGAGTTATAGAGCGAAACGAAGATGTGATCAAGGTAAAAGTAAAGGTCAAATAAAGGTCGCAGTGACCTGGTTTTGGTACGCTGCTCACCTTCTCCCCAAGATGTGTAAGTATACCATGTTTGGTAGCGCTAGGTCAATTAGGGGTCGAGTTATAGAGCGGAACGGAAATTCTCTGTGGCGGACCGAGCGGCTTCGTCGCGGGGAATACAATTAATAGGTATTAATTTTATATCATGAATTATCCATTACTAATTTGGTAATTAATTACTGTTCCTCAGTCAGGCTCTGCTCAGTCAGTGCTCTAATTTAGTGTCAATACTAGTTTGGCATTCTTACTACTACTACTACTAGTAGTAGTATTAATAAAAGTAATATAATTTAGTCACAGTTATGCCTAGATAATTAACTGAATCATACATTACATCAGTAGTGAATAATAACAAATTGTTTCTTTCCTGCTGTGGACATGTGATTCCTGAAACTGAATACATAATCCTCCAGCTTCATAGGGTAACCTCCCTGGGGACCAACAACTAAGGAGCCACGGCAGTAGATGGGGGAGAAGGAGAGGATTCAGGGATGTTTAAAATTTCCTATTCTTGTTTACTTCAAAATAAAATTTGGTATCAATTTGTGCTGATAGTAATTGCTGTGTTGTATGTATGAAGATCACAAGAAACCAAGAGTTATGCAGGAGGCGTCGAAAACGGAGCGGTCTTGGTTGATATTAAACCACAAGGAGGGACTGATAATGTGCAACTGGTGCAAGTCCACATTTCAGGACACTGAAAAGTCAAATAATTTTATTAAGGGCTGCAATTCGGCAAAGCACATCGCAAGCACGCACGTACATCGCAAGCACGCACGCACGTACATTGCAAGCACGCACGCACGCACGCACATCGCATACACGCACGCACATCGCAAGCACGCACGCGCACACACACACACACACGCACATCGCAAGCACGCACGCACGCGCATCGCAAGTACGCACGCACGCATATCGCACACACGCACGCACATCGCAAGCACGCACGCACGCACGCACGCAAATCGCAAGCACGCACGCACGCGCACACACACGCACGCACATCGCACGCACGCACACACGCACGCACGCACGCACGCGCTCACACACGCACGCACATCGCAAGCACGCACGCACGCACGTACATCGCAATCATGCACGCACGCACGCACATCGTAAAGCACGCACGCACGCACGCACGCAAGCACGCACGCACGCAAGCACGCACGAACGTACATCGCAAGCAAGCACGCACGCACGCACGTACGCACGCACGCAGACACGCACGCATGCACGCACGCAAGCACGCACGCATGCACGCACGCAAGCACGCACGCACGTACATCGCAATCACGCACGCACATCGCAAGCACGCACGCACGCACATCGCAAGCGCGCAAGCACGCACGCATTCACATCGCAAGCATGCACGCACGCAGGCACATCGCAAGCACGCAAGCACGCTCGCACGCACATCGCAAGCAAGCACGCACGCACGCACGCACATCGCAAGCACGCACGCATCCACATCGCACGCACGCACGCACATCGCAAGCACGCACGCACGCACGCACGCACATAGCAAGCACGCACGCACGTAAATCGCAAGCACGCACGCACGCACGTACGCACGCACGTACGCACGCACGCACGCACGCACGTACGCACATCGCAAGCACGCACGCACGCACATCGCACGCACATCGCAAGCACGCAAGCACGCACATCGCAAGCACATCGCACGCACGCACGAACGCACATCGCAAGCACCCACGCACGCACGCACGCACGCACGCACGCACATCGCAAGCACGCACGCACTTCGCAAGCACCCACGCACGCACATCGCAAGCACGCACGAACGCACGCACATCGCAAGCACGCACGCACCTCGCAAGCACGCACGCACGCACATCGCAAGCACGCAGATCGCACGCACGCACGCACGTACGCACGCACATCGCAAGCACGCACGCACGTACATCCCACGCACGGACGCACGCACATCGCACGCACGCACGCACGCACATCGCAAGCACGCACGCACGCACGCACGCATACACATACACGCACGCATGCACGCACGCAAGCAGCGCACGCAGTACATCGCAAGCACGCAGACATCACAACACGCACGCACGCACATCGCAAGCGCGCAAGCACGCACGCACTTCACATCGCAAGCACGCACGCACGCAGGCGCACATCGCAAGCACGCAAGCACGCCGCACGCACATCGCAAGCACGCCACGCACCTCGCAAGCACGCACGCACGCCACATCGGCAAGGCACGCACATCGCACGCACGCTACGCACGTACGCACGCAATTCGCAAGGCACGCACGCAGTACATCCCACGCACGTTACGCACGCCACGCATGCACATCGCAAGCACGCACGCCACGCACGCACGCATACACATTTGACACGCACGCATGCCACGCAACGCACGCACGCAGTCACATCGCAAGCACGCACGCATGCACATCGCAAGCACGCACGCACGCACGCTCATCGCAAGCACGCACGCACATCGCAAGCACGCACGCACGCACGCACATCGCAAGCACGCACGCACGCATGCACATCGCAAGCACGCACGCACGCACGCACGCACGCACGCACGCACATCGCAAGTACGCACGCACATCGCACGCAAGTGAAATGGTGCTCGGTGATCGTATAGTTTAAAGTTCGTGACGTCGCCTCTCCAGATGTGGAGCGCGCGTAGAGTTATAGGTCTGGTATAACTAGCGTTGTTTCTTGCGTTGTGATTCTTGACCGCAGGTTCTTTGTCGTGCTAGCTAAACAGCTACTTGAGGAAAAGTCATATGTAGAATAAAACTACGAAGAGTCGAAGCTAAGATTAACGTACAAAGGTTTATTCACATATAAAAACACCTTCGTATAACTCACAATGCTAGAGGCACACTTCACTTATAAAAGTGCCTCATTAATATTCACATATCCGATGCTACATTCACGTATAACATGTAGCACCTCATTATATATTCACACCAAAAACAGTTGCGCTTACACACAGTAAAAGGCGCAGATTCGGTAGTTTCTACACACTAAAACTATATACGTAGCTAGACGCTACTCATGAACACGCGTATGTTAGCACAAATAAAAGGGTTACTTCCCACTTTAGAGTGCACGGCTTCTTATAAATGACCCGCGCTGTGACGTTATTCTAGAGAGGCGCCACCAGTCAAAATGCCTATAATTACTTTATTATTTATCACTAGGTGTCGCTACACTATCATATTGCGTCTATAATGCACAGAAATAGAATAGAAGTAGAACGCTCGTACACAGCACAGAAATAGAATAGAAGTAGAAGGCTCATACCCAGGCGCGCAGCGTCGCCAGTTTCTGACAACTGTCACGTGACCAGCGCCATATTGGTGCAGTCAGCCTGCTTAGGGATTGTCTATATTCAAGCCGGTAAGGGAGATGACGGTACGCATATATTTGCTAATATTTTGACTAATCGTGCGTCAATAAACTCAATATTCACAGAGAGTATAGCTAAGACATGTGTCTATAGGTATCTATAATATATTATGCAAATGATCTCCCGTACCGGCTTGAGTAAAGAAGATATTATGCAAATGATCTCCCGTACCGGCTTGAGTAAAGAAGATATTATGCAAATGATCTCCCGTACCGGCTTGAATAAAGAAAATATGGCCCAAGGATAGAGAACATGGGTCCCAATAAAACCAATGTGCCTAA